TTACAGATATTTCACCGTGGTCTACATTTTTACACTTTCTCACAAACACAGAGGAATAAAAATTCCTCGTGATAAAAACGTCAGCGTATACGTCAGAGAAAAGTGTTATATTTCTCACCCTGCTTCCTTTTCCTCTCGTCTTTTCTTTTTTGTAGCTTAGTCACACAATTCTGATATAACCACGTCGAAAAAAATATATCTAAAACCAAACGTTTTAGATATATTTTTTTTGAGCAATTAAGATAAAACGTAAAATTGTGGAAAATTGTCGTTATTTTTTTGGTGGAACAAAAATGACGAAAGACCACAACGCAATATTATACTCTGGAAAAATTCCAAAGGTTAGAAGTCGGTTTTCGAAAACTTCGCTGAAATTTCAACAAAAAAGAGAGATATGTGATATCTCTGGCAGCGGCGCATCGCAATTTTGTTCGCGCAGAGGACTCGTTCGGCTAAGAAATTGGACCAAGAAGAAGAAAGGGATGTTCTCGAAAAGACTTGGAACGACAGTTTGAGAAATAGAGTCATCACCGGCAAAACGACCCAGCATCGCCAGGCACTGCGCCCGCAGCAGATCGGCGTGGAAGGTCCACTTCTTCGAGTTCGCCTCCTCCGCGCATTCCCGACACTGCATCGCCTTGCGCAACGCCTTGACGTACTTCCCCGTCTCCAAATGGCAGCGTCCAATCTCGTGGTGCACCCAGGCTCGCGGCACCGGATGATCGACGTGGATTGATAGATTTTCTAAGGCGCGTGCGGCGACTTCCAGATGGCCGAAGCTGAGATGCACCTTGCCCAGCGTCACAAGAGCGTGCGACAGCAGAACGACGTCGTTAGTGTTCTTCGACAGCCGCACCATCATAGCGACGTTACTGCACGCTCGATCGTGTCTTCCCAAGGCCGTGTGGATCAGAGATAAGTATCGGTACGCCGGGATTCTATACCGGCAAGAATCCTCCAAGCCAGAAGATAATCTTAGCAAATCCTCGGCGAGTCTTAGGGAAATCTTCAATTTACCAGCGTTGAAATAAACTTTTAAATTCTTCAGCATGGCGTTGGCGCGACTATTGACGTGCTCCAACATCGTTCTGCATCGAATTAGTTTGGAGGTCAACGGTGAGGAAATTTTGTAAGAAGTCTTCTTGCGGCTATCGAGATATCTGAAGAGGGATAGAAAAATTCTTTGATCGAAGCATCGATACACTTAATATTATTCAAGTTTTAAATCATCAAAGATAAAGGCTTATCGTCAAACTAATTATTTCCAAAGTGCAATTAAATAGCATTACCCCATTATTTACTTTAAATCGAAGGAAACCTTATTTTTTCTTAACTTTAATGTTAATTAAAATTTTATATCAAAATATAATTGCTGTAATTAATCTTGAATGTCAAAAGATTAAACTAATAGAATATCAGTTTTAAAAAATTTGTAAAGAAATCTGTAAAATTAATTATAACCCGCGTTTTTGGAATATCTTGCGAATATATCATCTATATAAGCTAATTCATCTATTTTTACTTGAGGACGTCCGGAATAATCGATAGATTATCAAAAGACTTCGTAGCATCACACGCTTTGAGTGCCGCATTCTCGTGACTTGAAGTCACTCTCGAAATTGCATTATCCCTCGCTGAACTTTTTTCCGAATTATTCCACGAGCTTATTGTTGCCGCGATACGTCGCGCTGCTACACTGTGGCTGCTGTCGTGCGGACACACAATAGATGCTCGATGATATAACACCAGTGCCGACTCGTACTCGCCACTGTGCAATTCATTGTGAATTTTTAGGTACTCATTAATTATTATACTCTTGTCATTAAGCTTTCATCATTAATCCTTCGTGATAAAATCGTATAAAAGCGATTTGATAAAATGTTTAAATATTTAAAAAATTATTAAACAATTATTACATTATTAATAAATATTGTCCCCCCAAAGTAGGATTTAATAATTGCGCTTTAATATAAAAATGTTATTTATATAAAGATACTTAATATATAAATAATTACTTCTACAAGTATATTTAACAATTGGATAAGTTATTTGATTTGGATAAATCACTCGATATTTATACATTTATGTAGAAATAAAACTTTCGGTAAAAGTGTGACTTAATAACGTTTTATGTTGCTATAATGCTGTAAGATCATGCAAAAAAAGCATCTATTTTATTGACACAGGAATTAAGCCGCAGGGTGTTCGACGATTTTTTAAATCGAGGAGAGAGGAAATCTATTTGTAGAATTAAAACGCCCATAGCTGTCCGCAAAAACTAAATATCGGTCGTTTGTAAAGAGATATTCGTTGAATGTTCTTTCAGAGAAACGAGACGTATTGATAACATTTCCGATATTCCCCATGACCTATTTTTCTGAAACGTTGCTAAAATGCTTATACTTTAGCGACAATAATGATAAGTTATTACAACGAGCTCTAAATTTAAAATTCAATGTAGAAAAGTTATGCTGTGTTTTACCGATAACAAATTCACCTTGCTACAACATCCGATAAATTCACGTAGTTAACGAAAATATTTATCAATATTTCTGCTCAAAATATTAATAATAGATTAAACGATGCAATTATTAATTTTAAAACACGTGATATTTAAAATAAAAATGTAATTGAAGAACAATTGCAATAGACAAATTAAATACTTTCTTTAGTCAATTTTTAGAAAAAAATTATACATATATATAATATAAAAAGTTTTCTTTCCTCATAGAAAATTTTTCATTGCTTATACATGTCAATCAATCTATAAAATATTGGCACTTTTGACGTAACTAAGTTAATAGGAATATACCATGATCACTCTACACATTTATGTGTACAGATTCAATTTCCAGTTGAAAATTACAGGACGTCGAGGCAGTACAATAGCTTTTCCTCCCTCATTGTTATACGCGCGTACGTGATTCAATACAGTCACGCGAAATCTCTCCAGAATAAACGATAATATTATTAAGAAAACGACCGGTGTTTAGACTCTCATTAGAGAAAAAGGGGGGAAAAAGGAAGCAAGTCAAAGGTTAATGCGCTTTTGATGTAACCCCGAAAACGGCGATCGATTCTGTAATTATTCGCGGACCCTCAAGACTGGCGTCACGCCCGCGTCAAATTAGCCGAGCTAATCAAAAGTCATGAAATATGAAGTGGGACGTGCGATTAAAGCTGTCTAGCACTTAATATCGTTAACAAGTATTGATTACCCCACCGTTGGCACAGCTCGTCCGCTTGACAATGTAAGGCCTGTGCATATTGCCGGTTATTTCCACGGGACAGTTTCGAAGCGCTGGTCTTTATCTGAAGGCGTGCACGACTCTCCGCGTTCTCCACGGTTTGCTTGGTGACATCGAGATCGTGCACGGGGCTGTTAAGCTTCCATCTGACAGAGGTATAGCCATTCATACCGCCTTGTTCCGTGAGTCCGCGCGATCGAAGATATTCGCGACTTGTTTTCCGGACGAAAGCCTCTCGCGACCAATTTCGTTCGTTGAAATCGATTCTTCATATAACGCGATACGATATAACAGGCTACGATCTGTTTATGACATATATGATCGTTACGTTAACCTAATTTTGCAAAGTAATTATATTTACACAATACCTTCTGTTCTCCATATGTCATCGGCAAATTGTTTTCTTTATTAAATCGTATATTAACGTAATTGTATGAGATAGATATAATTCCTGTTAAAGATGAGCAATAATAATTTTGAAGCAGACGCAAACAATACCGCGAGAGCTATTATAATTATAAAAGCTTTTATAATCACCTCCGTGCACGAGAGATAATCTTCGTAATCTATCTTCGTAATCTGTCTTTATAAATTTCGTGCGTAGCTGGAACAATAACGCATTGCATAGCGATCCGCTTTTCGACGTAATAAAAGGCTATCCGCCTCGTATAATATTATTTCCAACGCACAATTCCAGGAAAATGCAACACAATATAATTTTTACATCACGCATTAGACTTACGCATCGTAGAAATACGAAAGCTTTTAATTAAATCATGAACATTATCACATATTTTATTTATTATATTCAATTTTCGACGCTAATTTCCCCTTTCTCTCTTTCTCTTTTCCGCTCCTCGACATATTACCATATTGTCCCCATGCGGCAGCTAATTAATTATTCTTGTCAATTAACAGTCGGCGTACCGTCGCGGTAAAGCGTTGTCGGGGAGCCTGGCAAATGGGGCGGGGAAAACGCGAAAGGGTGAAACTGGAGTTTCAGGCGATGGTAACGATTGAAAAATAGAAGAAGAGAAAGAAAGAAGGGTTGAAAACCGGAGTGTCGTTGCGGTAAGGAGATTTCCGCTACAATGCTTTCGGTAGCTCCGCGGGCGACTAGAATGTTGCTCATCTCGGATTGAGGGGCGCGATATCGTTATTGGAAAACGACCGTGCATCACGGCGAAATGGTCCTGTCAAGCGTCACCAGATTGAAACGCGAGGATAACGAGACAGCGCGATGATGCATGGCGAATAAAAAGAGAAGTCATCGCGATTGTAATTACGTAAAGTAGCAAACTAACGTTAATCGAGAATTAATGCCGCGTTATTTTGACAGTGTAATCTAGAAGTTTTTACAGTCCAGAAAAAGGAAAAAAGTAGTATGAAGGTATTTTAAGTACGAGTATTAAAATGAACGTGCATTCTAAATGAATTTTTGTCTACAAAACGTAAACAAATAAATTGTCTTTTACAACGTGAAATAAAAACTGAATTATATAATTATATGTATGTGAAATAAATACTTTTGAATAATTTCGCGTCGACAGAGATACAGATCTTTTAATGGCTTTCAATAAATTTGATGTGAACAAACGCGCATTAATAACACAACGGTTGAGAGAAACTCATTCGTAAATGCGAATTATTATACACCTGTGTCTGACGTTGATTATCCCGCGATAATTTGCAATAAATGCCGCATGAACAAAATACAAAAATATTACTGTTTGCGTTCCGATTGAAGATCAATTATTCGAACTCTTGAAAATTCACGAAACCCGGCCGCCTGTGCGGCGGAGCGTGCTGCTTCAACAAAGCGATCCTGGCGTCCCTCTTCGGGTCCTTCGGCGGGTTGGGTAATATGGTTCTTCGCGTGGACGGCATTTTGAACTTTCGATCGATCGGCTTGCAGCCCGGCATGACGGAGAGTCGCCTCTCGGCAGGCACGACGTCCATTCGCCGCCACAGAAAATCCACCTCCCCCTTCATCTCCTTTGGCATCAGCTCGAGGATAAGCTGCTGCCTGGCAGCGATGTCGTCAAAGTCGCCGCTACGCTCCATGTCCAGCTCGTCCACGACCCTCATGGCCCTTTCATAGAAATCTATCTGCGGAAACATTATGAGACCGGCCCTTGAATTAAGCATATCTCGCCAATGGAGGATGCTTTGCTTATCGCCTACGTCAGCGATTCAATTGTGTCGCGTAATGGCGAAAATTGCTTTTCGCGAAAGAAGATCATTACATTCGTTTTTACGAAGAAATGTTCCGGAGCGACAGCTTTTCTAGCTTTTTATATAATATGAAAAAAGTGGTTGCAAACATTGTGGGAACATCTGAACAAAAAAGAGAAGAAAACTTTTCAATGGTCATTAGGATAAAGAAATATCTCGAAAGAAAAATAACGAGAACGCAACATTGTGAAAAAAAATTAGCCTTTATTCGTTTCGTAAATATAACATTACTCGCGATAATGCACTAATGAATATATTTCACCGTAGCGTCCCTAGACTTTATCTATTAAAACATTCAAAGGACGCGACGGCGTAGATTGTGCTAAAGAGAGGAAAAATTAGTGGAAATTGCCGGCGGCGACGAGCGTGTTAGTTTCATTCGTCGTTTTCCGATATTTTTTTAAACGCGTTCTCTTGCGCGCCGCAAGCTAATTTTAAATAATGTGTGCATATCGATCGTAGAGTAAATTCGACCGTAAAATGGCGACGCTATTACGAATAATGAAAAATGTGAATTTTATTTTTACCAGACAATCGATATTAAGCTTTCTGGCGTGCGCGAGCGCTTGAATCGCGACGTCTCTCATCTCGTTCCGATTATTCTGATAGATCTCTAGTCGCAGCATCAGATGATCGATGTTTAGAACCCATTGGTCACAATTCGCCTTTTGTGCCATGTCGTGTCCCTTCTTGGCGTAGAATCTGGCTAGATCGAAGCGGCGTATGTCGATGAGAAACTTGCAAAATTCATGATGCAACCAGGCGAGCTCGAGCGGCGCGGATGCCATAACTAATCTCCTATTTGAACCGCAAATATTAAAACCGTTTTCGAAATATCGATCAGTTAAATGCATGGGAATTATTATAACGGATTAACCGCGAGAATAATTATAACTGGAAATTACACGCATAAATTATATAACGTTTCTAAATTACATAATCTATAATGGTATAAATGATGTAGCTTTATGCTAAACAGAGTAACAGTTGTTATTTCAAACAGCGCACCTGTCAAAGCGTTAAGAATGAAACACGCAGAAACTAGGATTACTAACTAAATAAACGAGAAACTAGGATTTCAGCGAAATCTTGCCCGTGGCTAAAAATTCTAATAACACAGAAATAAAATATAAATGTCTACTTGCATAAAACAGGCAGGAAATTCACGAGATATCACATTTTCAGCCCCGAAATCTATTTACGAATGAGAGTTATACCTCCGGAATATCTTCAACGTCTTCTTCGGATTTACAGTTGGCATCCACGCGATATCACTGTCTCGGGGCAACGTTGCAACTCGTATTCCCAAGTGATGTTTCAAATATCTCATCTTCATTTCCTCGTTCAGACACGTTAAATTACGCGTGTCGAGGTACACCCTAGCCACCGTTTTGTACAACGCGTCCAGACACTTTTGCTTTAGCGGAAACATCTTGTCCGAGTAAGCATCGAAGCTGTCCTTGATGTGATCGACGAGTCTGGCATAAGATTATGGCGTTAGATCGGAAATTCATAAATAAGTTTACAAATCTCATGAACTTCTAAACACTACGAATGTACTGCCATGTGACCCCAGCAGCGATAATATTTGAAAGCTTCTTAGGTATTTCAATTTCAAGGTACGAAATATTGCAGTATATTCGTAGTATATTGGCGAGACTCCTGAGCAAATCCGGACACCGACTTGAAAAAGGCCGGATAGTCCTTGTTGATCCTCGCGGCTTGCAAGAGGCGCAAGAGAAAATCCGCCTTTACGACGACGATGTTCCTTCGCAATTTTCGCTCTTGTTCCATCATCATTCTGCGCCTCTTTGAAATCTTACGTCGTCGGAAGAGGGTAACGTAGAACGGCCGTCTCATGCGAAGAAGATCCTGCAGGTACGTCGCGTTACGATAGCACGTACTCGCAAGGGCAAGCAGCTCGGTAATCGACCTCTTGCTCGACGAAGCCACGATCTCCGGTCGGTTCACGATTTCTTCGAGAAAATCCCTATCAATCGTCAAATATCCCATGTTCATTTTCGCTATGACGCGCTGTAGTCTTTTCATTCGCGCTTGCCGCTGCACTTCGGGATCGTTCACCTTGAATCTCACCTCGTCCTTCGCGACACCTACGACCGTAAAGCCAGTCTACACTCGTCAAATCATTGCTGAAGCAGTTTTAAGATAGTTTTACAAAAAACTTTTTATAACTTATAAGTAATGTAATAGTAATATTTTCTAGTAAAATCATTGAGAGAGACGTGACGATTCCTTTATATTATATCACATGAGAAATGTCGATCCCATACTTATATATCACCGTTACTCCGATCAACTTCGCTTCGGTAAAGCGAGGTCCGATAAGAACCCAAGTATTTTCTTGCTCTACCATCACGAAAATTGAATCTCGCCTCGTAAAAGTCAGTGGGCGCTATTCCGAAACGACTGTTTCACCGTTACTCTCTCGAGTCGTCAAGTACTCGCTCGAGAACTGATATCGCGAACGAGCACAATCATTTGCCCACCTTTGCTGTAATCGCAATACGCACCTTCGAGCTCGTTCTCCTTCTCCTCGAACTTGCCGATCAGGAGCTCACGGTGCTCCCACAAACGCCGTATCCACGGGTAGAGTAGCAGCAGCGCGACGGGCGACGTGTTCCGGCCGATGCAATCTTCGATGGTCTCGTTTGCCTGATAGGCGCCGTGCTCAAAGGTCACCCCGTGCCGTCGCATACCCTCGTAAGCGTGAACCAGACTGTGACCGAACTCACCGATCTGGAAAAGCGCCTCCATTCGCATCTGCCGTACTTTATAATGACCGGGATCTGCGGAGAGAGATACGACGATGCAGAGATCAAGTGTGTCCGCTGTTCTTTTCCCTTTTTTTTTAATGAAATTATCGAGCGGAAGATGATTATCGCTCGGATTATCGGGCGTCATCGATCGACGCCGCTTGAGCGGACGTTTATACGACACGATTCTTTACAGGACAAACATTATTTGTAGGCTGCAAATATGGAACGAGGAGAGTTTTAAGAAAATAACTCTGAATAAACGGAAGACGTGTAAGTGTTGCTATTGTAAACGTAAGAACTTGCATAAGAAAAGTGGGGATAGTTCATAACAGAGATGATTGCGATAACATTAATTTGCATATGAAAGTGCGAGAAGAATATCTGTATCTACAACGTGTTATGTTTCCAATTTTACATTCGAAGTTTCTTGTGCGGTCGTACCTATTTTCATACATTTCTCCGACAATTTTTCTGCCGCGAAATATTTTGTGCACTTGATGAGCGCTCTATAAAGACCGATTAACGTTCTAAGGTCCTCGGCCTCGGCTGATTTAGACGCCTTTTCGAAATAATCTATGGCCAAGAGGTATTTGCCCAGACTGGCAAGTCGATAGCCCCATTCACGATAAAGGATGGCCTCCCTGAAGACTTCGGGAGCCTCTTCCTTCTTCAGCGCCGACATGATCTATTGAATGTTTTTAAATAGAAAGAAACGTAATTTTCATACATTATAGATCCATTATAGATACAAAGCACCAAAAACTAATACTGCCGTAAAAATAATAATAATCGACGAAGAATTATCACCTACGTTTTTCTTAGACAATAAATTTTTCTGATGTACGCAAAGCTGTGAGATTTATTTTATTTCCACATGATTGCTTCTTTCGCGTTATAAAATTTTCTTAATTACATTTACATAATTTATTAGACACGTATCATTATCTTTTACATTACGTGACATCCAAATGACGGATTGATGGATGAATCATCATGGATAGAACGTATCATGTGAAAATAGGCGAGTATGAGTGACGATACATAATACATTGCGACTCTCGCAGAATCCAAAATGCGGCTTTGCAATGGAATGTAATTTGACACAGGCCACAAAGTGCTAAATTCGGTTTATCCCAGCACATAGTGGATGTAAATTAGCAGATCAATAGAGAGAGAGAATAGCACAGCATCAGTTATATCTACTAAATGAATTTCACTGGATTGGAACACTAACGGCATTACGATATATTCATATATCAAAATGTGTAAAATTGTGATTCTTCTTTTCTTCGTAAGTATATTTTTTTACACTTTAGAAGCGAAATCTAAAATGCATATATCTGCGACGACAGAAGAGGTAACGTTGAGATATTTGCTATTTGCGTAACCAGGTCATGTTTCCTCTTGTTCTTCCCCTGAAAAACCCTGCGTTAAAGCCTACTTGCTTGTTTCATTGTCGTGCTCCGTTATACACAACAATTAATACCACAAAGGCTCTTATGTATGGTGGAGTATTTAAGAATGAAAGCGGATTATGATGAATACCACCTTGAACTAATCCCTGATGAATACTCTAAGGAAAGTCGAGCAAGAACTTTTTGGCTGCCGCGCTTTAAATCTCAAAGAGAATATTTAACAGAATATTCAACATTTCTGAGATTTTCAGACGTTCATTATTAAAGTCTTAATTAAGATAGAAGTTAGTTACCATTTTACCATTTACGTTGTAATAAAATACCGTCTAATACTCTGAATAACGTGAGTTTAAAATATGTTGGAAAGAATATCAAAAAATTGTCAAAACGATAGATCGTCTTTAAAAGGTTTTTCTGCTGTTCTGTTTTTGTTTTCATCGGTATTACTATTAGGCGCTAAAGAGATTATTATCGTTAGACGATTGATGGAGTATTATGTTTTTCAGATTACCATAAATCGACCTAAGACGAATCCTTCTCGTAAACCATCGCGGACCATCGGGTTAACGGTGCCCTCGAGATGCGGTGATGGCTTTGTTGTATAGGTTCGCGCAGCTGCACGATCGCAGTGGCACGCGGGTCTTCTCCTTCGTCGTCACTAGGACCGTCGTGCGCGATCCTGAGAGAGACGTTACCAGCAAGGAACTAGTATGCGGTTTTCAGAGATGGGCCGTCGCTTTTTCGCGCGGGGAAAAGGTAATTCGATCGACGACCTTCTCCTTAACTTATCGACCAGATAGAAACCCTGTTAGGTCTGTAGTCATTATCTGATGTTTATCCCACCAAGGTCCTGGGCGTGTACTTGGTATGGCGTGGCGCGTCAAGAAACCTCCGCGTATACGTGGATTTCACGTTCACGCTGCTGAATCGGGAGCACTTCTCCATGAACGAGAGCTTCTCCGGCAAGCGCGTCAAGTTCACCTACGAGGCGCCGGCCCAAGGCAACCGTAGCTACATCGCCGTGGCGGATCTCTACAGTCGTAATTTCGCCGACACGAACGGCGAATTTCAGCTGGAGCTGTCCATGGCGAACGTGCGGACGGTCTACATGACGGAGGTCAGGATGCCGACGTCGGTGTTCTCCGCCGGCCAGACGAAGCCGAGCAAGCTAGAAACCGACTACTTCGCGTTTGGCGGTTTCGACTGGAATCTGGTCATCTATCCGCACGGCAAGGAAACGGACGGTCGTGGTCAGGACAGCCGCGTGAGCGTCTACCTGATGCGATTGTCGGGCTTCGATCATCGGTGCAGGGTGAGATACAGCATGGCCCTGGGCGAGGGCGAGCGGCGGATAGACTCCGGGCAAATCGAGGACATATCCGACGCTGAGGGCTGCGGCTTCGGATGGCACACGAGAGTCAGATGGTCCGACATCGCGCACAAGGGCGCACTCCGCGTGTCGCTCGAGATGCTCGAGGCGAGGACCATCTGCGAGGTCGCGGTGCAAGCGCTGGGTCCGTCGGTCCTGCCGGCTGCGCCTTGCTACGATCGCGATAAACAGGCCTGGGCCATCCGCGCCGATCTCAACTCTGACACAGTCAGGCTGCACTTGGTGTACAAAGACATCCATAATGTGCCGAGGAATCATTTAAGGTGTGCATTCTATTTTTATTGTTGAAAATCGAAATCAGATTCTATGAAGGCAAATTTAAAATCGTGAAATACCGCCATATATTTTTAAACATATAGCAAATCTTTTTGAACATTTGTCAATTTAATATATTTTATTACAAGAAAAAAATATTTAATCCGCAAATCATTAATCAATCATCGAAAAAATTGCAATGGTCTAATTAAACTAATTAAAGAATAATAAAATAATATTTAGATATTAATAATAAAATTCTTAAAGAATAGATGTTCTTTCCTAGACAAGTCAAGTTTGAAAAACATTGAAAAGATGTTTAGGAAATTAAATGTTTTAGATACTTTTTGTCCGAATAGATATGTTAGTTGGTCGGCATATCTGCTGAGGGGCGAGGGACCAAACGTCGCGGCGGTTGGGCTGCCCGGCGAACCGTTCAGCCGCTACTACGTTCAGGAGCCCGTTGACGAGGGTATCATCATGGAGACAAACGTGGACATGAATGAAGTGAAGGAGAATCATTGTCCATATCTCACGGATAAGGGTCAGCTAAAGATTCGACTGGAATGGAACGAGAGCCATCTGCTTTTTCAGGCGACTTATCACAAGTATGACGACGTGTGTCGCGTCCACAATCAGCAGATGAGACGTGAGATCGTGTCGCTACAAGCGGAGAATTACAGCCTCGAGAGGCAGCTGTTCAGCTATCAGAAGAGTCTGGCGTATGCACAGGCGCAGCAGCAGCAACAGCAGCAACATCCAAATCAGCAGCATCACTCGGTGGTGGGTCATCAGGGTCATCTTGAGCGATCGGCGTCCAGCGACACCGAATACGCTTGACAAGTGGAACGCGAGTTATCAACGTCACCAACACCGAGTTACCGGCGTCAGTTGCCGGCGGCGGCGGTGCCGGAGGAAGACCAGCGGGTGCATCAGAACCTGGTCAGAATGATGGATCGACGACTGAGCAACATGCAGCTGCACCAGCAACTCTACGAGGAGCAGCGGCAACATCATCGGCACAGCAGCGGCAGCGGTGGCAGCGGTGTCTCCTCGCCCAGGCGGAGCATCGATCGCAACGGCCAGGAGCATCGTCGCAGTATCCTGCAGCAGCCCAGATCCAGCGTCGGCGCCAGGTCCAGCAACGGAGGCAGCGGCGGCGGCGTTTACGAGAATCGCGCCACCGGCAACAACGATCGGTATGCCAGCTACTATCTGGGATACGTCGGCCAAGCGGCGCACAAGCGACGCAGGACCACATTCTGGGAGACGCTGACGGGGCTGGTGTGCTCCTTGGGCGCTCTGGCCTCCAGAGCGGCGAAGATGGCCGCCAGACGGGGCGATCCTCTCTGAGGGTACGGCTAACGGCCGCAGTCCCGATGCAATTGCGGGGATGGGCAAACGCGCGGGAATGTGACGTGGAACTCGTTGAGCATGCATATGTACGTCGCGTTTTGTCTTATGTACGTCGGTGCAATATCTCGCGCTAAGCGGATTTCGAAAGGTATTAGACAGGAGTCACATAACGATCGAAGGAATAGTCCTAACACAAAGCACATGGTTGGTATCCTTTTGAATTTGTTCCTTTATAAATTATATTTTCCTATAGCAATTATTTGATATAGCATTTTTTTATTTAACAATATAGTATAATTGAACTTTAAATTTATCGGCTTCTCAATTGGATTTCTTTTGTTATAATACAACAAATCATATTAACAGGATTGCAAGAATTCCTTTAAGTTTCATAACTCTCTTGATTTATATTTCCTCATGTAATTCTTTTTTATTATACACCAGGCGTATAAGAATATATCTTTCCATTTTTCATAAGATACGTTAGAAATATACAATACAGAATGTGTGTTGGACGCGCCATATATTTCGGGGTCAGTTTTATGCGAAAGGTGTTTGCAAACGGTTCCTGATTTAAGCGATCACCGTACCGATTTTATGAGACAGAACATCCAGTATACATGTATCGCAGGAAGCAGTAGGGAGCAAAATGACCGGGGAAAGAGGATCGTAGGGTGAAGTTTAGGGTCGCGTTCTCCTCGACTCTACGCACCGACACACACATTTCTACACAGACACGCACACGCGGACACACGTCTACACACGTACACGAACACGAATCTATCTACTTGTCAATTTACTAAAGAACCTATTTTCCTCTAAAGACTTTTTTCACCTATTGTGTACATCGCCGTGGAAATAAGAGGATATGCGCGTTGGCATAGTCGCCAAGCCAAGTAACAATACTGTAATTATCGTAGTAGGTATATTAAACAGAACTTTAGAGTACAGTCAATGTTACATAAGCGAACAAATACGAGAGAAGTGAAAGAAACGGAGAGGAAGAGGAGAAGAAGGAAAAAGCCCGTGCTTCTTCGGGAGCCCTTAAAAGGCTGCATCGCGATGCGCGTTAATGCCATCGTTGTGCAAATTGAGTTCACCCAGACGCTCTAGTCGATTACGTCCCCTTCAAATTGATCTTTTTACTACGAACATTAAGAGTGTCATTGTTATATAACTCTACGTTTCCATTCAAGCTATCGCTACTCGCCGTACAAATATTTAGCTGAGAGATTGAGTCGGAATATCTATTAATTCTAAAATGAC